TTCCATAACCTGAGCAGGATTTGGCTGACTCGTTGGCATGCTGACTAGGCAGACAGCTGAGGGAAAATACAGCTCTCTATAGATATTTTTGTGATAAGGGCACCTCTGGCAGAGAGGGCCTGTTTTAAAAGCTTTTTGAGATGTTTTTTGATGTACGTAGCAAGTATGTAGCAAACTACATACTTGTATGTAGGGCTGGAGTGTCAAGTTGGTGTGTATTCGTGTTTTGTCTGCAGCTTCTGCTATGGACTTCTTAATTTTCTCTCTTAAAGTTAAAATAGATGTATATATGATTTTATCCTTAATATGGGTTATTGTTGCAGTTTGTATCTACCAAAAATTTTATGACTGTCAGCCAAGAGCCATAGAACAGTAGATTCTTTCTGTTTACTCATAGATGAATATTCATGACTATCCATTGTATATCCTATGAACAGCTTCATTGGGTTGCTTATATGGATCAAGTCAGAATTTGCTTAAGCAGCTGTATAGCTGAAGTTCAGTGCTCTGATAAATACTGTGTCTCATTTTAGAGCTCTGGTTTTGTTTTAAGCTTCCCATGACAGAAGGAAGGATAAGTCCTGGATAAGTCCTGCCCCTACGGCTTTGTGAAATCTCTTTATTTGTTGTTGTATTGCGTTCTCATGTGTGTTCACCTCACATCCAATTTAGTTAAACAGCATGTCTAGCAGTTTTCATAGTAGTGAATTACAGTGTAAACATTGAGGAATATCCCAGATAAAAGCAAACAAAGCTTTATTTCAGTAGACACTTGAAATTGCAGAATTCATTATGTAGAATTCTACTATATAGAAAATGGTATAGATGGAAGAACCTTGAGTCATTTAATAATTGAATATCTGAATTCTGTTAGGAGATATTTTGGTTGCTACAGGTGGAGATGACTGTAGTATGTTTTTCTACATAAAAAAAACTTCTTTTTGTATAGAAATTCTTTCTTGCATGCAATATTACCAAATTTTAAATATTCAGGCATTATAAACAAGACAACTTTACCCTGTGCAAAGGGTTTGAATATCAATAATATGGTGATATAATTTTTGCTTTTCTTAAAAGGTTGGTTATTCTAGCTTTACTCTGTAATCCTGTGGTGAAAGTTGTTAGTAATGAAGACATGTTCCAGTATAATTGGATCACTGGTGCTTGGGCTGTCAGAAGTATCGCAGAGGTTAGCAGCACCGAAGGCATCTAAGTTGCAAATACACACATTCAATCCACTTCCATGCTTTTTCTGGAACTCCAGGGGAAAAAAAAAAATGTAGAAAAAGGTAAAAGTTGAAGTTGTGCTGTGCTCATCTAGAATTTCCTTAGCAAACAGCCAAGTCACAAGGAGATATCTTCAGTGCTTCAGAAGCTCAGGTTGCCATTCTGCGTATCCCTAACCAAAAAAGGAGCTCTTACTCCACTATATTTCTTTTCTGTGTTCTCTCATCAGTAGGCTACAACTCCAAAGGCAGTAGTAATAAGGGAACTAAAGTAAAACTTTCAATGAGAACTGAGGAAATTCAATTTTTCAACTCTTTGAAAGCTTTCCAGCTTGTTTAGGTTTTGGTGGCTGTCAGAAAAGATGTTTTCTGCAATTAAGTGTGTGGGTTTTTGGTTTTTTGTGGGTTTTTTTTGTTTTTTTTTGTTTTTTTTTACCAGAAAAGCCACCTAAATTTTTAAGAGGTAAAAAGAATGTATGCCTAAAACTAAGCAACTCTTTTTTACATTTCTGTAATAAATGCATGGTTGGGATTTTTTTTTTACAAGTTAATACATCACAAATACTATTTATAGTATTCACAGTTACTATTTATATACATACATATATAAGTGTTTGACAAATACATCATTTCTCCAATTAGAGGAAAACATAGTAACAGGAAGAAACAATGTAGTATTTTCTTGTATGAAAATATATTTGGCTGTTCAATCCTCTAATAGATCAAATCTGGGGGACTTTTGAAAGCCTAAATATTTTTTACTGTATTTTAAATTAATCTGGATGGCTTTAACAATTTGCATCCACAAGTGAAGCTTTGTAATTAAAGTTTAGTAATTAAAAAAGAGAGAGACTGCAGGTCTGAAATGGAAGCTTCCATTAGTTGGAAGTTTTTTAGTGGTCACATATATTCTGCTTTGTATTTCCTCAAAATTTGTTTAAACTGAAAAATGTCAGCACTGTGCATCCAGATATGTAGGCTCAACTAAGCTGGTTCAGATGTCCTGATTCACACATAATCAGTTCTGTTTAAAAAAAATAATAATAATAATAGCATTGCATCTACATGTAAATGCAATCACCTTCCATTAATAAAGTTCGATTGGTTTCATTTTAGCACTTATCCTGCTTGGGTGAAGTCACCCTGAAATAAGCTGTTGAGGACATTGAGCAAGTTTATGTCAGCATAATGGAAAGAGAAGGAATACATCTTCATTCAGATATAACAGAACAAGCACTCTATGTGTTACAGACAACACAATTCAGTATTCAGACAAGACTTTCAAAAGGTTAATGGTATGGATTGCTTCAAATTTTATATGCCAGACTTCGAAAATAAGGAGATAGATACTGAGATGATCAGAACAATTTTCCAATATCAAACTGCAGAAATTTGGTGAGGTTTGGCTGCCTAACATCGTGAACTTTTCCATATAAATTCAGACTGACAGGCTGTAACCACTGAAAACCATGTCTTAAAATGGTGTGTTTTCTTACTCTAAGCTTTCTGAAGCAATGAACTTACTGACTTTCAATTTAAAACAAAAACATTTATGACAACACCATGTTCTGAGTTCATAGCACATGATATATGAGTGCTTCCAGATAGCTTTTTTTTAAAAAAACAACTGCAAGAAAAGACAGTGTGTGCTGTTAGTAAGAAAATTTAAGTGTTGAATAGTCTTTAAAAGAGTGTTAATATACAGCATGTACAGCTGAAGGCTTTGTGTTTCTTTTTTTTTTAAAAAAAAATCTTGTTTACAGTAACAGTTTTATTGGTCAAGTAAAGAGAACTGTGAAGCAACAATGCCTTTCTCCATCTTGCTTGCTTACACTTCAGAAAGCTTAAAGAACAATCTTAATGTAAGCAGTAAATCCCACCCTCCTACTGAAGATGGAATGGTATTTTCAGATTTTCTTGGCATAAGTAGAAATCTGTCCACAATAATTCTACAACACAGCAAATATTAGAGTTGCAGTTTAAATTAAATTTGAAATATTTTCATAAGTAAATTAATTATTAGTAACTGCAAACTTCAGATGACTATTAAACATTAAAATAAGTAATAAATTGTTAACGGTAGTCTGTCATTTTTTTATTTTTAATTGTTGCTCAAGGTTTTTGTGCTTCTCAGATAAAAAAAAAATTGTCCTTTTCATTACTTTTTGCAATTCTAAATGGAGCATTTAAGTAACTACCAAACTTTTGTAGAAATTGATAGATGCAAGTGGAATAAAGCAAGAAATCATTTCAATGATCTCCCATATTTATAGTCAGTCGACTTTAAAATAAACTAGAATCTTCTACTTGCCATCCTCCCAAGTCCTGCTTAGCTAATTTCTCCTCGTTTTAAGGCAGATTAAATAGAAGTATTTGTACTGTGTAGTAGGAAGCATTCTTTTCTGACCTTTGCATATGATTTACTTTCATCTTGAAGCATAAGATTTCATCGTCCTTATCCAAGTAGGCACAAGAACCAGTACTAGAGGCCGTGAAATTATTCAGTGCTTTTAAGAATTCTTGTGCAGTATCTAACTCTCTAAACTCTTTAAAGGCTGACTGCACACACTGTATGACATTTTCTTTTATTTCCTTTAATTTAGTTGACATTCATTTCATTTGTATAATGAAAGAAAAAAGGAAGACCTAAGTTACAGTCTCCTTATAATCCTAAGTATTTCATTCAAAAGTCATTTGAAAAACCTTTCAATAGTAAGTATTACACCTTGTTCTTTTGGGAGAAGTCCTTCAGAAATCAGCATTACTGAAACAGTTTTTTAAAGAAGATTCTTTGTTGTGTTACAGCGTGATATATTAGATATTTTGTTCATTTTTAAAACAAAGCCAAAGTTAATGAGAAGAATTTGACATTCAAAAAATCCTGACACTGCTGTCATATTTAAAAACAGCAATAGCAACAACAACAAAAGCTGTGTCTATTGATCACGTAATTCAATTTGTGGTGCTGGAGTATCCTTTAAACTTCTTAGTGTGGGAAGGGCTGAATTCATGTGGTTTTTGAGATGCTGATATCATGCTGTGGCATCAGATCACTTCTAGGCTAGGAAGCCTTCTAGGGAATGAACAAAGAATCCGCATAGGATCTGAATCAGTTTGCCAGACATTAAGATTTCAAGGTTTTTATTTAAATGGAGTAATTGGCCACCTTGGAAATGGCATGTTAGTGAACCCGTAGATAACTGCATGCTTCTGTCTTTCTACTGTCTTTTCTGGAGAGAAAGAATGTTATTTTTACCATATAGTCTCTCATTTAGTTCTTTATAATTACATGCCCTGGATAGGATGTAACTTGCAACGGCTGTAATCCCGTCGTCATTAAATTGAATTATGATGTGAGAATTTGTTTATGAGCATTTTCTCAGCTAATTTTGTGACACAAGAAAAAACATTAATTACTGATTATTATTAGCAAGAGTTAAAGTGTACCTTCTCATGGTGAGTCTGGGCTTATGAGTAAATGGGGCAGTAAATAGGGAGATTTGCTACCAGCCATGTCTAAATAAATATGAATAGCTCATTTCTCCTCAACTTGTAGCAAATAGCAGTTTGACACAGAAAAGGTGCTTGAAAGAATTATCTTACCTAGAAATCTAAAGTACTTAAGCAACTTTACAATTAAGTGCTCATTAGTAGTTGGGAAATGTAGGACTCAGACATTAAAAATTTTAAAAATCACACTTCTATAATTGCCTCTGAAACGTGCTTGCATAGAAAGGGTTTTTTCAAAAAGCTTATTTTCTAATTTCATTTCAGCTGGACAGCTGAGCCAGTCAGCACATTTTGCTCTCCAGTTGCCATACAACGTGCTGGGCTTGGGACGTAGTGCTAACTTCCTTGATCATTTGTATGTTGGAATTCCTCGTCCTTTAGGAGAAAAGGTTAGTTAAAATTTATGATTTCTCAAGCTAATATTTCTGGTATTATCTTTCATAATAGAAAAAATGGATAGGAAAATTGCTGATGACACTTATTTCATAAGTATGAATATTAAGGTAAATCAGAAAAGGGTTTGCCAAAAAAAATACCCTGATACCTTGTACATCTGGTTTTTAAGGTGGGTGTAAGCTCCAGTGACAACAATAAAAACGAAAAGATAACTGAAGCTGTGTGTAAGCATTAGTCATATGGTGCTTGTTTAAATGATAAGTGTGTATTAGACCTGGTGGTCCAATTATTATGATCTCAGCTGTAAGATTCCCCTGGGGCTGCTCTGGCTGCTCTGTAAACTCACACGATCCTTTCTAGTTCAGCGATAGCGCCATGATCTATATGATAGGAGGTGGAGGTTACTGCGATCATCTAATCTTGAGGTGAAACATAAAAGGGTCCTGACTGTTCACAGTCCTTAAAAAAAATCTGCTTTAAAAAAACGCAGTACTTGTATTGGTGTACCCATGATATTCTGGTTTGGATAATTGGTAAAATTCTTTTGTAAAATTGGTTCTTTTTTTCGTTCATTATTATGTTGTTGCTTTGTATCTGTGTTTTGAACAGATACTGTGTTTCATGTCAACAGCACTTCTCTTGCTTTAGACTTGGTTGTTGTCTTTAAAGTGCTTTGGAGATTTCAGAATAAAAGACTTACATAACTGTAAGGGAAAAAGTCACTTAAAAAAAAAAAAACAGTCACTTCTGAGGGTTTTTTTCCTTTTCCGTATTTCAACAGAGAAAATACTTTGCTTTTAAGTGTGTTGGCTTGTTAGGAATTGACATAGCCTTTGTTTTACTTTCAGTCCATAAGAAAACAAGAATGGACAGCTATCATACCAAACTCCCAGCTTATAGTCATCCCATATCCTCATAATGTTCCTCGAAGGTAACTTCATTATTTTGAATTGCACATCACAAAATTACATAATGCCTAATTTAAGATCTGTGGGTTTTTTCTTCTCTTTTTTTTTCCTTTAAGTTGTATAGAAAGTGACTAAAAGCAATGACGCAGAGGGACTCAGTTCTGGTACTGTTGTTGCCACTGTGACTGGACAGAATATTTTTGAGTATTTACATATAATTTTATGTAGTAACCATAAGCAATCAAAATCTATTACCATCTGAACTCCTGTAAATAATAACATATTTGCTGGATTTACCAGCTTTTTTTTTTAACAAATTGTAAGCATGGTAATGATGGAAGCAAACATTTTGGTTTCACCAAACATATCATTTCTGCCCAGTTGTACATAAAAGCTTCAATTCAGCCCTTCTGAACACACTATCACTATCTGTTGCCACAGGTATGAATGTTTTTCCTTAAGTAAAGGTGAAGGGGTTACTTATATAAGCTTTTCATCATTGAATTCATTTGGAAATTAAAATGTTTGTCTCAGAAATCACGCATGTTTCTGTCGTTGCTATTAGAGAAAACATTAGTCACATTACAGCTGCTTTTTGCCGCTTGATCTACTAGCGAGGTCAGTTGCGTTTATCATGCAGAAATGATTCTGACATCAGTTTCAGCAGCTAATTTTACTACAGAACAAATAACAGTTGAGAAGTGATGTGCCACTTGAGTTACTAATTAACAACCACAGGAATAACATCTGGCAGATGGAGAAAATTTAGTTACAGTGTTAAGGTATTTATAGGTACGCATTATGAAGAATTTTCTCAGTCATCCATAAGCTATTTCTGCTTTTTTTAGAGAGCAAGTTTATGGCCACTAAACAGTGGAAAATAGAATTCCAAAAGAATTAAGATTTCCTAAAAAACACTTCTTAATTTATAATTCCTTTTAATATAAATATGCAGTTTCCTGCGAGGACTTGGTACTGCCTCAGCATAAAAGATCATGCTGATAGCTTTCCCATGACAAGAAGTCTGAAGTATAAAAAGAGTGTTACTGAGCCTTGGGACCCCGCAACATTCTAGGGATGCCTTCCAGAAGTCCTTCAAGTGCCTCGTTTTGTTGCTTTCCAGCATTTTTCTGCCATAGCCAACTGGTTCTGCTGCCTACAACTAGGACAAAAGTCAGTCTCTGAGGATGCTCACAGCATTCCTGGATAAATAAGCTCAATTTCAATGGCAGTACTTGAAAATAATTGTTATGCATTTCCACATAAACACCATTAAGCTCCAGTCTCCAAGTACAGCCACTAGGATTTCATGGACCAGGCTGCTACTTCTCTGAATACTAGCAAGTTATTTTGATCTTCATAAATGAAATCTGTTTTCTACTTCCTAATTAAGGGTATTAACATTTCCTTGGATTTTCCTCTTTTGTATAGCTGGAGTGCCAAGCTGTATCTGACCCCGAGTAACATAGTGCTGCTAACAGCTATAGCCTTAATTGGTGTCTGTGTTTTTATCCTGGCAATAATTGGCATATTACACTGGCAAGAAAAGGTAAGTTTAATTAGCTGTATTTTTCTATATTTTCTATGCTATTTAACATCTCCTTATATCTTATAGACTTGTACATCTTTGAGTAGCTTTATATAATTTCTGACACAGACAGCATTAATTCCCTAAAGGTGTGGATTTGTCATTAATTTGGTATTTATTGCAAGCTTAAAAATTGGCATTGTTTGTACTTAAGCTTGAAGGCACTTGAAAAGGGAAATGAAGAAAAGGATTGATAAGCTTTTGCCATTAAGCTGTTATTGCCAACAAAATGAGAAGTTTTTGGTTCATATCTAAGCTTTCTATGTTGCAGAGTTTGTAGAAGTACAGTATTAGAAAAAGGAAACATAAATTCAATTTTCTTAGCTTGAGTTGCTGCTAACCTAAAAAAGAGGAAAAACATTTCTTTTTTCTGTAACTATCTTTGCTGATTGCACTCACATTAGCATTCAAGAGTGTATAGGGAGACAATTGTGTGCATATTGGCTGCTTTGCTCTGTGTGTCTGAATTATACATGCAGTGTATAGAAATCTATTGATTTGAAGAAGCATTTTGAAAGGGGCCTTTCATGTCACAAAAGAAATGCATTCCCATTTTTCTTAACTATGTGCAGTTCGCAATCATATCCAACTGGCAGGATTGCCAATAAATGCTACTGCATACCCAAACCATAATCTTAGCTGTCAAATAAAATTACTGCACATTTTGACATGGTAGAACTGTTTGTTATTTTGTGCTTGTGGAAATAAAATGACCTTGTTAAACATTCAGATAGGCTTTGCGCATGCTTCATATTTAAATGTTACTTGTCTGTCATTCTCCACTCTTCAAAATGGTAAATATGGTCTCCAAATCACAGTGATGCTGGGAATGTAACACACACAGCAAGGAAATACAGATGTTATGATGACTGTCCTTAACGTGTCCTAATGTACCAAGAAAGCATTGCTAAGTGATAGCTTGGACTGTGCACTGCCTGGGTTTAACTCTGTCTTCAAGATATCTAAAGCAACAGGAATAAGAAAAAAATGTTTGGTCTCTGAGTTGTGAAGGACTATGTATAATTCCATCTGGAGAAACTGAGATTTAACAACAATGTTTAAAGCTTTCTTTGCTAATAATAATTTCTTTATTTTAATATAAAGAAGCACTCAACATGGAGTGGGTGCTTTCTGAGCCATTTTAAGCCCCATTCATTAAGTGCATGTGAATGAAGCGGTGTTGGTCATGTGTTAAACTCTTTGCAACAGCTGCATCTTGCACAAAATAGGCACGAATATTTGGTTAAATTGTGTATTTTTAGATTACTATGTAATCAGTTGTTAATTCCTATAATTTTCAAATGCCCTTCCCATTGATTTTTACCTTCCCAGTTTTAGAAAAAAGTGGTTGAGGTACATAGCAAACAAAAGGTCCTGACCAAGGCAGTATTGTGAGCCAGTGGTATGACAGGGGGTTCAACTCAAAAGTTCCCTGTTCATAAGTTTATGCTGTTTTCTGCCTCTTCTAGTAATCCTTTCATAAGTATACTGTTCTGCCTCAATGCTGTTTTCCCTGCAGACTTCTAGAGTACCTATCACAAAGAAAGAAAGGGAAAAAACACTGGCAGCTGCAATCTCTTCTTTTTCCCCAGAGGATGGAAGCTGCTGTGCTTTACTCAGCAGTTAAAAGAAAGCATGTACTTTGACCTCTGCAGATAAGGAGCAGGAGAAGTCCTTTGTCTACAATAGTTCTTAGGCATTCAGCTGCCAGCCATTACTGTACTGTTTAAATAACTGTAGTATTTGGGGATACTACGTTGCTCTGACATTCCTTAGAAATTTTTGATCCATTACAAAAAAATGAATGGCTTTGAGTTATTAGTTTTCACTTTTGATACATCAGATGAAAGAGAAGCTGAGGAAGAATTGAAGCCATTATTTCATCTTATAACAATATAGTCTGCCACATTTCCTGTATTTTGATTCTTTTTAATTTGCTTTGTGAACTTGGGACTAGTCACGTGAACACTAGGCACTGATGATAATCCTTGCTAGGGAAGTTTTGATGAGTTCATCACAATATCAGTTACCGACAAATTTTGAAGTCGTAATTTTTTCATGAAGCAAACAAGAAACGGAGTGAAAATTGCTTTCTAAGTGAGCCTGCATAACATTGTGGAATGTGACAAGCATTTTAATTTAGCAAAGTATGCCACTCCCCTTTTCCCGCCCCGTTTTTGACATTCAAAATACTACTGGCATTGATAAAGACGCTGCCAAAAAGCCAGGCAGATGTATCTTAAACCTCCCTGACAGCCGTGCTGCTGCCACAAAATGCCATAAAATCCCATAGTTAAATGACAGCTCGGCTGCTGCCACACAACGCAGTAAAATCCATAGTTAGCCCACTGGAATCACTGTCATACATAAACAGTGTGTGATGAGGAAATCTCTGGCCTTGAGCCAGAGCAGATGACGAACTTCAACGGCAGAACACATGCACTGATTTCTACCAAAATCATCATGTATATTTATCAACTTGGGTACAGACCTGAATGCCCACACAACAGCATACTGTAAAGGCTTATCTTCATTTTACTCATTCACCAGAAAAAGAACAAAAGAAAAAAGTATAAGCAAGCTGAAAAAGCATTTACATTTGTTTTGCTGCATTTTCTTATACTGGGATTTATAGGGACTGTCTGTTGTGAGACAAACTCAAAAGGCTCACTGTGCACTCTACACTCCTGAGAGAGGAGCTCTCCTCTTCTGTCACTGCTTTCAAACACAAGGGAGGCAGGGGGGAGAGAAGTGTTATAGCACCTTCCATGGGTTCTAGGTGCAATTTCACTATGCGTCTCTTCTCCAAGCACAATCCAAGCTGCTCTTTCAGCAGATCAATATGTGTTCCACATCAATAAGTGGGGAAATACATCCTCTCACATTTTCTGAATACAAAAACATGGAACAGTCCTCTTTTTTTTTAGCCTACTTGGTGCTGTTAATTGTTAGTTGGACTGCTATCTTTGTCTGAATTTGTATTTAACATTTAAATTTAAAAAGTCTAATTTTAAGTGTAATGTAGATGACAACATTTACAGTTAATCCAAAGTGATTTCATCTCATATTAGGCTAAATACGTACGCACCAGGAACCATCCTTCAGTTCTGAAATATTCCTTTCATAAAAGCCTTATTAGAACAACAGAAAATAATGGGTCATAAATGCTAAAACAGCTGAGTATTAACAGCAGAAGCCAATTTTGAGTCGATTATTGCTATTACAAACTGACATCATTTAAAAGCTAATTATTGAGGCTTTTACTAAGCTTTTTGCCTTTTGTTAAATGAATGACTTGGGAAAAAAAATGAACCGTTCTCTGACATTTGACAGCACATTTCTGTAACAGCATTGCTCTGTATCCCACAAACTGCTTAGGTTTTTTTATTTTATTTTTCAGAAAGCAGATGACAGAGAGAAGCGACAGGAGGCTCATCGGTTCCATTTTGATGCTATGTGACATGCCTTAATATTTATGGAGGAGCTGCTATTCGTTTGCTTAATTGAAATACTAAATTCTGATTTGTAAAATGATTACTATGGAAAATACTGCTGGTGTGCTATTTGTAAATGTTGCATTATTTGGTATTTATTTGGAACATATTAAAAATAGACCTGAATGTCTCTTAAGGCCTTCCAGAAAAAAACTAAAACAAAAACAAAAAAACCTGTATATAATAGCATTTGGTCTTTATTTAACAGAAGTGTACATTAATTTTTCATAGTAAAAGGGATCATTTTGCATGTACCGTTGTTTACATACCACCAGTTCTTTAGTAATATATTTGATAGAAAGCTGTGTAAATAAAGTTTAGTATTTCAGTGAGCAGAATACTTTGTACCACTGACATTGGTATTGTTATTTACACATTCCTGCAAAGTAAACTGCATTTCTGAAAATTAATCTTGAGCAGTTTCTCAGATGACATAATCATTAATTGATTGCTTAATGGAAAGTATTCTGTATTTTTCATTGTTTTAATTTGTATGTGCAATTGCTAAAGAATTTGGGACTTGGGGAACTAAAAGAAACCTTCAGTGTTGCTGCTAGTTTGGTACTTGTGGGATAGATGGTATTTATACGTTAGCTCTAGAAAGATGATGATGCATTAAAAAGAACTGAAGTAATAAAATGTATCAGCGTGACACAAACTGCTTTTGTAATTATAGCATAACTTAGGCCTTTTAGAAAGGCCTGAAGCCATGGAAGTAACCTCTGTGGGTTCTGCTCTTGTAAGAAAGGTGGGGGACTTTGTATTTGGCTGGTGCTTGGGCTTTTGTAGAGACACAAAAAGAAGAATTTTGGAGGGGAAGGAGAATGAGGATTGATTCCCTAATATTCATGATTAATAGATGAAAGTACAGAGATTAATTAGCATAGGACACTCAGAATAAGCAGTGCCCAAATATCATAAGGCTGTAATAACTACAGAAGCAGAGGGGCTCAATTCTATATAAATGGTGATAATGTAACAGTTGCTCAATATAATTTAAATCCTGACATAGTCTCTAAAAATAATAATGCTTGCATTTAATAGTTGTTCCTATATTCTCCGTGATAAGAGTTTATATGATTTATTGTACATTTAAAGCTGTCAGCTTGCATTCCTAATAAATCCCATTTGATAAATTAGAATGCACTTCATCATCAAACTAAAAAGTGTTGTTCTTACAGACAGTCACCTCAGTAGAGATAGTGGTCAATGAGAACTCCTTATCTCCTCCACCCGGGCACCTGTCCTGCAACCTTACATACATTTGTCATACAGGAAGAGTAAAGGGAGAGCAGGTACAGAGCTTGAACTCCCTGAAGCACACAGCAGTGCTGAAGTGACCCATAGTAACAGCAGCTCCAAGTCAAAAATCTGAAAGGTACTGAAAGGCCACTACGTTATGTAGTTTTTACAAGATACTTGTAATTTGAACTGATCAGATTCTACCAAAGCAGACTTTCAAATTACATTTCCCTTAGTTTTCAGGGAAGCATATTTCCTTAATACACGCCTTTAATATTTCTCTTAGAGTAATGTGGAAAGGTAGATTATTTAGATAAATCCTTAAAGCTATTGCACTTTTTAAACCCCACTGCTAGAATTCTCTCCCATCAGCAGAAGTAATAACAGGTTTCATAATCAAGAGGAAGCACAATCTAATGTGTTCTCTGTGTTTTTCGGATGGTTGGAGAATAAGGCTAAAATGCATAATGCCACTGTGGCAGCAAAGTCATCTGCAGCCCTCTATCGCAATATAATAAACATACATTAGCCTCCTTATGTTTTTTTGGAGAAATAATTAGGAATGAAATAACCTCATGCTGACATTTAAGCTGTTACCCAGTTAACGAAGCAATGAACTCAGTATCCCATGCTTTAAGGTGGTTTGCATGCTCAGTAGTGCATTCTTACATCACTTCGTGTACAATACTTTCTTGGAGCTTTAATAGCTTTCTTATAATAAACTGTGACAGGTTGTAACTGCTCACAGCTTGGCTTATAACTCTATGCATACTATTCTGAATTAAGGCATTAAATAGTGTTAAACCTCTTGTCAAAGGTTTCACATGGTATTTGACTTTCATAGGCATCAAAAATTTATATTGCTAAGGTTGTTACCCTTCTATCAGTAAGTTTTAGAAAGCAACGTTCATTAGAATCTGTGTTTCCAGGTAATCTTCAGTGTAGCTGAGAACTGAGAAACAGTTTTAACTGCACACGTTTTCAAAATACATCCACCATAATACAGCCCTGGTAAGAAATGCTATTGGAAGGCTTCTTCAGTGTGAAATCTCACCTATATAAAAAATACTGTTGACATGCCAACTGACAGATGGCTGTTGAAATACCAGCTTGCTTTGTTCTCATTTTCCATGAGAAGCTTTAAGACTGAATCTTCCTACTAAATTTATCATTAATGCAGTATAATCCCCAACAAAAGAACCAACTCTTCTGCTGCAGATTAATAGGCATATTCTATATAGTATGTTATCTCTCCAATGATGATGTGGCCATCTTTAGTAACAGCTGCTCTAAAAAGATTTGCTACAACTAATTGAAAAGTAATCATTATAAATGCACTGAGTCAATTCAGGACTCCTGTAACTCCTTTCAGACAAATACCATTTACATAGGAGAGGAGAATTCAATCCTCTAAGTTTCTACTGCATTAGTGTATAGTCATCAGCTTAGTTTTGTTGAAGCAGTGTAAAAATGCAAACTGTGCCAGCTTTAAAAGTACTGATAACCATAAGAAACATTCTTTAAAATCCAGAAAGTAAAATTATGCTTAGAATAATCACAGATATTGCAAGTAAACAGTATAAAGCCCAGTGATTTCACAAAAGTTTCGGTAATTTGAACTCATTCTAAAGGAACAGGCAAATTCCAATAGCAACCTTTCAGCATCTAAAATGGGATATAAGAAAGATGAGGATGAACTCTTTGGCAGGGTCTGTTGTGATAAAGGGGAAATAGTTTCAAACTGAAAGAGGGGAGATTTAGATTGGATTTATGTAAGGAAAAGGTTTTTTAGAATAAGTGTGGCGAAGCACTGAAATGTGTTGCTGAGAGAGGTGGTAGATGCCTATCCCTGGAGATGTTTGATGTCAGGCTGGACCAGGCTCTGAACAACCTGTCTAGCTGAAGGTGTCCCCATTCATTGCAGGAGAGTTGGACTAGATGACCTTCACAGGTCTGTTCCAACTCAAATGGTTCTCTGATAATTCTGTGATAAATGTTTTGATCAAAACCAGACTAACATCAAGAAATTGAGCTGTATTTCTTTAGTTCTGAAAGGCTGCTGTGCTGCTTCAGTAGCCATTCTATTTTTTTTTCCCCCTGATTTTGGCAACTGGAATTTTCTGCTGAGACTCTGTGAGACTGGTGATACTGGCTGCAGCTGCCCACTATCAGCCATGCAGTACAGTTATTATAGTCAACTCTTGTTTTCAGTGAATAATGGAATCCCTTGTATGATCCCTTAAAAAACAAAAACAACACCACCAACAACAAAAAGAAGATGTTAATCTTATTGCATGATTTAAGATAGAATATATCTACAAATCTCTCTAATACTCTGATCTAATAATACTGTGTAGCAAATACAAAAATGTGCAGGAAACTTTCTGAAGACAATCAGTATTCTTAACAGATTCTTAGAAAGTTTGCAATATCCTTCTTATCTCAGTAGTAAATAACCGAAGTCAGTTATGTGTTCATGTATGATTACATATGATATCACCACAATAAGAGGTCCTTCATTTTCCATCATTTTTCTAATTAAAAATTATACATAGGTTGCTCCTAAAGTAATGAGCACAAAGAGCACAATAACACAGTTTGATTAAGCAAATTCTCAGCTACAAAACATAATTGTTTAACATAGTCACCACCATCCACTATGCATTTTCACCAGCCATGAACAAAAGCCTGCATGCTGTGCTTGTAAAAGTCCACACCAGTGGAGGTGACCACTGTCTCAGCTATCGCTGGTGAAACACGCCTCCCACGGCCTTCCTGTGCTCACATCCACTGTTTGGTCTCCTTAAACATTCAACAAGTGTCAATGAATGTCAATGGGTGCCATTTCTTCAACATGGAAAATTTCAATGATGCTCATTTGCTTCATATGCATTTCCATGTCAGATACCATTCTGTCAGACTGCCCCTCTGCTGCCATCTGTCACACAGCACCAACACGTAGTGGAATACTGGAATATTGTTGGGGAGGTTCAGCCTCTACTGCCATACCACCAACATAACAAAATAGGAGGTATTACTTATATAGCAGACCTTGCATAAAATTATCAAAAGCACCTAATCCTACTGACAAACTTAAGTAACAGAAGAGTTAAAATGTCAATCCAAACTTCTTTTCATAACAATTCACCTTTAGCATCTGTATTTTTGCAAACTCTTTTGAAAACAATACACGAGTGACCCCAAACAAAGCCAAAACCTGACTTCTGGGGAAGGCTGCTTGTGATGTGTGATCTACTACAAGAGAGTAGCAAATACATGAGGCAATATTAAAATTTAAGCTTCTATGAGAACAGTAATTTAAAAGTTTTAAGGAAGGAAGAACTTGAAAAGAATCAGAATCAGTTCTAATAATGGAAATGTGGAAATGTAAGCCTTATTCAGGCAGCTATTAACTATACCAGAATGAGTGGCCTCATTGCCTCGCATGAACTGCTCCTACTCAGAAATAATGACAACTCAGTAGAGCAGCAGAATACACAACCGGTCATCCCAAAGCAGTTTTCAATCTTTGTTAACTCCTAAACTCACGTTTAATTAACTGAAGCTTAGTGCCAGCCTGACCTGATGGCACAGCATTTTCTTCCCTGGAAGCCAGCATCCTGCAGGCTCAGAAAATGGGAAGTGAAAGTTTCTCTGACGTGTCACTAGTTCACTATATAATATTTTAAAGCACCACCTATAATGAGAACTGTAACAAGACAAAGCAACAGGGATGTCCAGATAAGGAATTTGTCTGAAAGCAGCAGTAAATGATAGCAGAATGTGCCCAAACTCTCGAGCTAATGCTTATAGCCACGTCTCCCACACTGACAGCTTGATGCAGCCCTGGGAAAAGAGAAGGCAATACTGCACTTCCCAAGTGTGTAACAGCTCTGTGTAACCTCCTAATGGACAAACTGGAAGTGGAACTTTCAGTTAAATACACTGTAGCAGAGTGGTTCTTTGCAGCTATGCCAACTTGTCCTGAGCACAAGACATTCCTATTTTTCCTCCTATTTCTTTTCTATGAAATAATTGACTACAAATCACTTCCTTGAATGCACATTCAGCTTGAGGCCTAAGAATCATGCTACTTCTCTCTTGTATCACGAGTAATAAAAATACCTGAGCCAGATTTTGCCCTCAGCTCCACTGTGCATTCCAAACAAAAGCAACCCCAGCTCCCAGCAGTCTGCACAGCAGCACCGTCCGTTTTCATTTTGTGCTCATGTTCTGCAGGGAGGATAAAGAACTGTGCATGCTGCACAGAAATGGTAGAAATTATTGCTCTGTTAAGTATTTGCTAGGGTTGCTACGGCAAACATTTTTGTGAGCAGAGAAGAAAAATACAAAGCAGATCCACCTAATGAGGATATATCTTCATACAGGAATGTTCACTGTGGAGTTTGCCATTTCATCATACCACTATAAAAACACACGGTTATGAAGTGGGTACAAAGAAATCGCTTTATCCATTGTTGGAATGCAGCAGCTATTTAGCAATTCATGGGAAAACGACCCTTTGAGGAGCAACTGGATCATCTCTGCTTGAAATTGAAAGGACGATTCGAATAAGCGGAATAATATAATTATGTAACTTGGGATTTTGCCACAGCATTGAGCTTAATACTTCATCAAGCTTCTTAGAACGCTGAAATGGATCTCTAATGCCCAGAAAGCTCCGGCCCTTTGTTTACAAGTCTCAGCTGCCTCTTCGGGCCGGCGCTGGGAGGACCGAGGGCCCCCGCACCCCCCAGCCCGGTGCCTCCCGCCGCGCACCGGAGCTGGCAATCACGCCGACTCGAAGAGCCCGAACCGTTTACGCGCTAAGCCGAAGCAGAGTGACCTTTTCTAACAGGATATGCTGACCTTTGAGCGCCGTAGGAAGAACTCATTCAAACACAAAGCACCAAACCACGAGGGAATCGGCTTCGCATCTCACAACCACGTTCGAGAGCGGCCCTCTCGCTCGCGCAGTCAGAGCTGCAAGTTGCAGTTCTGCGTCTATTGTTGTCAGTCGGATGGGTTCCACATCGCCCCTGCGAGGTCCCCGAGCCCCGGCCGCCCCCGCCAGCCGCGGGAGCCGCACAGAGGCGCCTCGCGGAGCGCCCGGCCCCGAACATGCGCTTCGGGACCCCGCACGGCGCTTCGGGACCCCGAACACACCGCAGCCCCACCGATCGGCCGTGCGGGGGAAAGCCATCCTACGCCGAGATTTCCGTGCTGCCTACGGGAAAGTTGAAAAAATCGTCCCCTCGGCAGAGGCGGCCAGCCCCACCGTGCTCCCCCGCCCCACTTCGGGCTATTCCCCGAGTGCCAGCTCCCCTAGCGAGCTAACCCGCCGTGATGGATCGCCGCGGGGATGGCAGGCGGCGGGCTGGGTGCGCCTTTTTATTAACTTCTCGAAAGTAATAGCTCCATTTGAGCTGTCGCTCGTCAGACGACAGCAGCACAATAGAGTGTGATGGACTCCTCTCTTAGCTCGGGCTCCAGGCGGCACAACGCAGCCATACGGGCGGCTACCGCCGCGTGGGCCCCGCCACGAGGAACGGTATGAAAAAGAGGAGGGCACCGGCTGCTTTCCACCCCGATCACAGCCGCTGCGATGCCCGACAAAGGCGGCGGACGGGACTCAGATTCTCCCGAGCCACCGCATGCCGGAGCGGCGACCCGGTCTCCTGTCGGCAGCAGGGAAAACCCCGGCAGCCGGGCGGGAGGACGGCCCCGGAGCTTCACGCCCGGCGGAGCCTCCGGCGCCGAATTCCCTCCGCCGGACGGGGCGAGGGCGGCGGCCGCCCCCGCTCTGTACCT